TACTCTTTCCTTGCAAGAAACCTTCCCGCTATATTTTATTTCAATGTGCCATTTCAGAATCTGAAGTATTTTTGTCTGAGAAATATTTTAGAAAGTGTTGCCAAAACTTCATGATGGGCTCACAACTTCCAAAACAATGAAAATTCAATCATTGAGGTGAAATTATTTTCATTTTGAGGTGCAAAGAATAAAATCACCTATAGTATAGTCCTTAAGATTCTAAAAGGGCTAATTGGTGGAGTAATTCTCATGAAGAAAGTGACCATCACAGCTGATATACCTTACTAGTCATTACAGAAGTTCCTGTCAAACTTTTAACTCATAAGAGAAAATTTATTATGCAACATTGCAAAAGTGATTGTTGTATGACGTCAATAGTTTAAGAGTCGCAAAATCTCTGGGCCTGATTGTTGCAGATTCAGAAATAGTGATAAGGTCTATTATCATCAAAGATGCAACATTTAGTAACTACCTCACAAGGAACTTTTCATTAGAATTTGATATTTATTGGTTAAAGGGTCATTAAAGTAAGAAGATCAAAATGTGAAAAAATATTGATAGACAACTTATGGAAGGATGACAGAGGCAGAGTATTACATATCTAATTTTCATATGATGAAGACATAATCTTTCAATCAGTTTAATTGAGGTTTGGAGCTGGCATGTCAGTAACTGCTAGCAGTCCTTTGTTTATTTATGTATCATTGTCATTTTGCTTAGTTTCTTTTGTTACCTATTTTGACATCGGACTCGGACTTCTTTTTAACTGAGTTTTATTGTGCGTATTGCTATGTGTTTCTTTTTTTTTCTACATTGCCTAGAGGTATAGGGGGAGGGTTGAGATCTCACAAAACATGTTAACCCCGCCTCATTTTTGCGCCTGTCCCAAGTCAGGAGCCTCTGGCCTTTGTTAGTCTTGTATGTTTTTTAATATTGGTTCATTTATATGTTTTGGAGTTTAGTGTGGCGTCCATTTTCACTGAACTAGTACACAATTTTATTTCGGGGCCAGCTGAGGACCACCTCCGGGTGCAGGATTTTCTCGCTGCATTGAAGACCTATTGGTGGCCTTCGGCTGTTGTCTGCTCTTTGGTTGGGTTGTTGTCTCTTTGACATAATCCCCATTTCCATTCTCAATTTTAGAATTGTTTCACCAACATAACATTTCATTTCACAAGAAGTAACATCTGTTCCCAGCACCTCCCAACGTCTACTTATTGTATGGACTGTACTTTTGATCGGGTTATTGTTCTGAAATGTATTTAAGAACCTGAGCTTTCCACAATAAACTAATTGATTCAGCATACCGGTACTTACAATCTGGAATGTTAAATTTTCAGTTCATAAAATGTATGAGTGTATTCTTTCTTCACACTAGTGTATTACACTATCAGAAACAATCCTTAGGGAAATATATCATGGAATTTTTACATTAGTGTATTTCTTTAAAAAAAAAGATTCACATTTAACTTGATGAAATTAAGAGATGTGGTATGAATGCCAATGAGACGACTATCCAACAGATTCCAGATGAAATGGATTTAAGCAACTATATTTCACTGTAAGGACTTCAATAACGAAAACAACCCATACAGTATAGACAGCTATTAAAGGCCTTGACATGACAAAAATGAAACAGTTCAAACAAAAACAAAAAACAACAGGCTGATTTACGTCAGCAACAAACGACAACCACTGAATTACAGGCTCCCGACTTTGGACAGGCACATATAGCATGTGGGATTAAACATTTTTGTGTGTGTTCAAACCCTCCCCATAACCTTGGACAACAGTGTAACAGCACAACATAAGAAAGAACTATAAAAATCATTTGGAGATGGCTTAACAGATAGGCATGAAGCACAAATAAAATAACATAAAGACAAAAAACACAAAGTACTGATCTAATACTGTTTGTATCGGTAGTTATTGAAAGCTATTTACAAGCCACTACTAGCTACTAGTGATAAATAAACCTTGTTTTCCCAGATTATAGCACCTTTCCATTGTAGCTTGATTCAAACATACATAAATTGAATGATTAAAATCAAGGCCCAAATGTTTTCTTTCTTTTATACTTCTACTTTGAAAACTGATATTTACATATCTTTACTAAAACATATTTACATATCTTTACTAGAACTAACTAGATATCATTGAGATGGGAGCCATCTCTGTGGGCCCCGCTGTGAATAATGTGTGGTAAAAAATTTGTATCTTTATCATTGGACATGGGGTTGTCAAATGAAACCAAAGTTTTTGACCTTGACCTTTGACCTAGGAAGTTGTACATAAATTATGACACACCCTCTGGTGTTGGTTTATATACATATCAAGTATAAACTTTGAAATCAATACGGTTCTCAAGATATAGAGCGGACACGATCTTTACCATAGGAAAAAGGTTGTCAACTAAAACCAAAGTTTTTGACCTTGACCTTTGACCTAGGAAGTTGTACATACATTATGACACACCCTCTGGTGTTGGTTAATATACATATCAAGTATAAACTTTGAAATCATAACGGTTCTCAAGATATAGAGCGGACACGATCTTTACCATAGGACATGGGGTTGTCAACTAAAACCAAAGTTTTTGACCTTGACCTTTGACCTAGGAAGTTGAACATACATTATGACACACCCTCTTGTGTTGGTTAATATACATGTCAAGTATAAACTTTGAAATCATAACGGTTCTCTAGATATAGAGCGGACACGATTTGTTACGGACGGATGGACGGACGGACGGACGGACGGACAGACGGACGGACAGACAGACTGATCACTATAGGGTGGCCGCCATTCAGCGGGGCCCTAATAAATACATTAAACAAATTTTAAGCCCCACAGTCTAAACATGTTTGCAACAACAAAATACACAAATGCATTTTACAACACAAACACACTATATTTGGTAAAATATTTTTTAATAAATAAGTTACTGCGTACAAGTGTTGTGATTGTCAGAAATACATGACTAGTAACAAAATAATAAATTTTTCACCAACCTTGTTGAAAAAAGACCTTGTGAGAAAAGGTATATTTAACAAAGTTTTTTATCATTGTATCTGCCAAACTATTGATATCATCAAACTCAAAAGATGCTATAAACTATCAATTCCAACAATAGAATAGGAAATACTGTTAATTCAGAAATAATTGCATTTTTTGAAGAATGGACAAAAATGCGTGATTAATATTGCAATTTCAGGAAAATTTTCAAATAGGTATAATTATCATATATAAGAATGCGCGAGTTCTTATTATTGCGATTCTCACCCATTCACATTATTTGCATTAAATAAAAACCTTGCAATAGTTTCTGAATTTACAGTACAAAAAAAAAACCATTCTAGATGGCAAAAGTGCAATACTTTGAATACACAGTGATGTAAAATCTTGTTATAGAAACAGGAAAAAAATATCAGTGGTATACCTATGTTGCAACTCTGAATTTAAAAAAAAACCTTCTTTTTATGGATTTAACTTAGGATGAATTAGCAAGGGATAAATCTCTAAAGATCAATCTTTTTTTATTTCATTCATACTAGAGGTTCCAGTAGAGTACCCTCCTTAGGTCAAAGGGTAATTTTTAAGCAAACAATATAGTTCTAAACTGATCTGATTCTTCATTATGAACATTTTTGAAGGTCAAAGGTCAAAACAAATGAAACGTCAGGTCATAAGGTTGCCCACCAAACCCCCAAGGGTGGCAGGTTGAATTGGACCATGTTGGAGACACATAAGGTAATGAAGCACATAAATGAGATAAAAAAAGAAACAAAGATTTAGCAAGCATCAAAGTCAAAGTGAGCTGTACAGCAAAATGTGTAATAAAAAATACTTGCTGAAAACAATATATTTAAAGCTTCACATTGAGGTTTATGTTTGTTAATTAATGAGTATCGTATTACCAAGATGTTGACTAGTTCACAATAAACTGTTATCAGAGATATGTCTCGCCTTTTTGTAATTTTGATAATGCAAATGTTGAAATTAAAATAGCAATACTTTAACATGTAAGTTATGCAAATATTCAAAGTCGATGAATCATGACTGAAGGTACATGGCTGAACAATCTCCATGGAAATGAGATGTGCCAATGTTAATACAACTGCATACCAAATACCATTGACTAATCATAAGTCGTTCCCTTTAAACAAACCTAAACACGAACATTAACTTGTAAACTATGTAAAAGTTTCAAAGTCAAATGAACCATGATGAGGGGGTGGGGCTTTATAATCTCCATGGAAATGAAACTTGCAAATGCCAATAAATTTGCATACCAAATATCATTGACATAACATTAGCAGTTCATCTTAAACTGATCTAATCACAAACTAATACATATAAACTAAGTAAATGTTTCAAAGTCAATAGACCATGACTGAGGGGGCGAGACCAAATATTCTCCATGGAAATGAGATGTGCTAATGCTTATACAACTGAATTCCAATTAACATTGGCCTACCTCTAATGGTTCCCCTTGAACTGACCTAATCACAAACTAATACATGTAAACTAAGCAAAATTTTCAAAATCAATAGACCATGACTAAGGAGGTGGAGCCAAATAATCTCCATGGAAATGAGATATGCCATTGCTTATACAACTGCATACCAAATATCATTGACCTACCACTAGTGGTTCCCCATAAACTGACCTAATCACAAACTAATACATGTAAACTAAGCAAAAGTTTCAAAATCAATAGACCATGACTGAGGGGCAGGGCCAAATAATCTCCATGGAACTGAGATGTGCCAATGCTTATACAACTGTATACAAAATATCATTGACCTTCCACTTGTGGTTCACTATAAACTAGACCTAATCACAAACTAATTCATTGTTGACGCAGCCGATGCCGGAAACAGCATACCTATGTCTCACTTTTTGACTCTGTCAAGGCGAGACAATAAATGGTACTTTAAAGTGAAGTTAATTACATGTTTTAGTAAAAAGCATCAAAGGAAGATAATAATATAACAAAATCAAAACAGACAATTTAATACTAGACAATTCTGACTCAGCCTTTAAACACATTATATTGCTGTAAATGAGTCTCATCATGTTGAGATTTTATACATGTGGTACATTATAAGAGAACAATATGGATTTCACAGCTGTAAATTGCAATTGTAAATATACACAATTTTCTTATTTGTAAATGATACACAAAAATATTGTATAAAATATATTTAAAGTACATAATAATAATCGTCTCAAAGTCACAGGAATGTTAAGAAAAAAAAAATTTCACAACCAAATAGCTTATTTATTACACTATAAACAATAAATGTGTTAACCAACTTTTATGCAATCAGTCAGCTCAAAATGATTTTTATTTTGAACTGTTAGGTAGTAAACTCATTGGTTCTGTGAAACAGCTTCACTGATGTGATTTTACATGAAATTCATCTTAAATTTCATCATACCATCTTCAGTGTTATCACATGACATTTTTTAAACAAAAATATTAAAAAATTTGGTTAGCGAATGCAGGTTTTATGGTGTAACAACCTGAGTACTGCATAATTTTCATGACTTCGTTTAGAATTTTAAAATGTTCTAGGAAAGACATTAATATCACGTTTACTAACATAATCAAATTTCTATTTTTTGTGCGAATTATTTAAGATCTTTTAAAGCCACTAGTGCTGCTTGTCTACCTGGTACACCCATTACACCACCACCTTAAAAATAAACATAAAATACAGTGGTAAGAATCATATATAGATTGTATATTTGACCTACTAGTATTGTCTCATGTGACACTGACTAAATTATGTGTTTTGTTTTATTATAGTCAATCTGATTAAAATGCAGATCCTGAGTCCACGCTGGCTTATAAGGATCTGACAATGCTCTTTCCCACATTCTGTTCTGATAATTATCATGGTCTTCAAAACAGAAAGTAGAAGGAGCATTGTAAGCAAAAGCAACATAGGATCTGTGTTTTAATCAGATTGTATTATAGCATGTATAGTATTCTTCTAAGATATTTTCCTTGGCCTTATTTGATAAAACATAAAAGGGGGTCTCGTTGGAGGGGTCTGATTCCGGATCCCATTTATTGTATTGTCAGATTCCCTTATCCCCCTTATCATTGTAATAATAACGCTTGTAATTTCACGTGTCCTGCCCCAACTTTGTTTCCTGTTTTCACGCACAATAATTGACTTTCATGAGTCACATTTACAAAAAAATCGGCTAATCCCGCGTCCCGCTTAGACCCAAATGATACCCACATAAAAGAAATCAAATATCAACATAAACACTATATTTAAATTTAACCATTTCATCATTATCTGAATTGTACACGTCTACCTCTGATAGTAATTTTTGATGAAAATACACATTTATTAAGTTGCTATAGTTAAATTTAGAAATTTTGTAGTAGGCTAACAAGATCCATATACTTTCTGAAACAATAGCCTTAAAAATTAATACACCTTTCTAAATTTCTAATCAAACAGACTCTTAATTGTGTAGTAATATTATTTATGTTTGTGATGAAATAATTTTTTTCAACATTTCACATACTTAGATAGAATGTTTCCTCATTGCAAAGAATTCTAAAAAAAGATGTGATAAGTATTTATATCAAACAAAAATTGAAGGAAAAGTACATTTTTTTTAACATTTTCTTGTTAAATCAGTTGACAACAGAAAAATTTACAAAAACAACTTTCAAAAGTCCTTAAACAAAGTATTCATATCATACTTAAATGTTGGTGTCCTGAATGTGTGAAATGTAATCTGTTTGAAGACTATAATCAGCCAAAACAATCCTGAAAAGTCATTTTTTTTAAATTTCTGAAAAAATATCTACCAGTTTGTTCTCAACATATGATATTTGTTGTTTTGGTTGAAGAAATTGTTCGAGCACAGACATAGATGATGTTGACACACAGGTGCATACTGTTGTTTCAAAATTTTAAGGTCTGTGCTGAATACAATTTCTAAATTGGTTACAGCAGACTACTGAATGCTTATCTTTTTTTTATCATGATGGACACACAGAGTGAAATTTATTTGTCAATCATAGATCAAGCATACAAATGCAATTTTTCTCAAAATTCTAACAATAATGGTTGTGTATTGTGGGTTTTTCATGCAATATTAAATTAAACATATTTGTAAAAAAGGTATACCTGGGTGGGCACCAGATCCACAGAGATACAAGCCTTTGATTGGACATTTATAATTACTCAGTTTTGTGATTGGACGAGAGGTGTACAACTGATCCAGTGACATGGATCCATGAAATATGTTCTGAAAATATGTAAATAAGTATTTGTAAAAATAGATAACATGTCAATTCACTTCTCTATAAAGCAAATCATCATAAATAAAAACAGTAGACATTAAAATTACAACCCCTGCTTTTGTCTTGCAAAATAAATAACCTTAAATTTTTCTAAATGCACTATTTTTTTCTTCTTGATTCCATTTTGTCTTTAAAGAAAAGGAGGTTGCTTATAAATCAGATTAATAACAAAAATAATACAAAGTTTGAAATTTTTGTGATAAGTTATCTCCCATCTTTCTCGATTGACAACAAGCATTTTATGTTCAGTCAGTGTATTTTGAGCTGTACATAGCATTAACTTCATTTAATATTCAGATTTCATCCAATAAACAATATTGTGTAATCAATCATTAATGAAAAATATTTTAAGAGCAAACAAATTTTTGTGGAAAAGTAACTGTCTTCCAATGATTGTGTTGAGTATAGATAACATAAAACAGTTGGTCCGAGGACACAGTTATCGTCCTTAGATTTTCGTTGTCTACAAATATAGTCCCTAGTGTGGACAGTGTATAACTTGCAAATTTTGTTTTCATACACTTTCCAAATTTATTTCTTTATATTTCATGCATGAAATATTAAGTCAAGAGATGAAATTACATGTTAAAAAAATTTGGGTGCTGAATCTTTATGTTAAGTAGTGATTTGGTCCAGTTCAAAAAAGTCAAAAACTAGTATGTCTGAAGCTGTCAAACTGAATTTTAGACCCCCTTAACATAGAATTGTCAATATTTTGAGTTAGAGCTGGTAGACTTTTCTATAATTTTGAAATTATTTGTCCCAATAGTAGTACACTACACTGTGAAAATCTTTTTGAGATAGAGCAGGTGCGATTTTTTTAATTTGAATTTATTGTCTAAAAGAAATGCACTACGAAATAACTGTGTTCTCGGGCCAGTTAATTTCCCCCCCAAATTGCACTGATTGTAAGGTAGGTTTTACTTTTTTTTTATTTACTCTACCTTGACAGAATGTTCTACCTCTGAGTAGGTAACCTGCTGAAAAATTATATACACCTGAGTCAAAAGTAGGTTATATGGAAATAGCTTATTCAAATATCACAATTTGACATAAAAAGTCATTATGCCTTTTTTAAATGGTTAAAAAATATTACCCCTCCTGTTAAACCAAATATTTTCTCTATATCAGGTGGTGTTAGTATATCTCTTCCTACTACGCTGTCTTTGAATCCAGGAGCATAAGACTCAATGATGTCAAAAACTGAAATAAATGAAAATGAAGGTATGCAGTGCATAATTCATGACACAAAATTCTACATGCACTTAACATTTTCAAGATGGTCCTAGCTCTGGTTGGAACAATTTATCAGCTAGATATTGATAGCTACATCTATGCATTAAATATAGATTACTTTTTTAGCAAATTATATCATGACCACATAACAACATTTTGATCTTTTAAACAGTCAAATATACCATTTACATGGAATACACTTCATATACTGTAAAAAATGAGAATAGATCATGGCATGCAAGAATTATTTCTTAAATTCTTACTCACAATTATTGAAAGTAATCTCAGAGTACTTAACCTGTCTGTCAGTTAACAATTACCTGTATCAGCATACAGATTCCTGGTAGCATCATCCCACTGACCATCACGTAAATCATATGGTGTGTATTGTGTAAACAGCAAACAAACATGGCTACCTGGTGGTGCTAAAGTTGGATCTAAACTACTTGGTATTACCATTTCTATCATTGGACTGAAAAGGAAGAGAATAAGGTCTACTTGTTCTTTTTTTTATTATTCAACAAAAGACTTTATGGGAATAAATTTACAAGTCTATTAAAGAGGCTTAATATGGGATGAATTAATTAACATTGAACAAATCCAAACAAGTTGCTTACAATGTTGTGCAAAGAATACTGTGGACTGATGTATATCCTTTTGTACTTATTTTCATGGAGTAAGGAAAAATTGAATTTTTATGAATATTTGATTTCATGGTTTTGTCAAAGTCTGCATACAAGCCTATGGAAAATTTGAAGTTTTTCTGTGACAGACATTTTTTTCTTGTTCCTCATATTGTCTATCCTTCTGGAAAGTGGGTCTTTTAGTCCATTAGTCATCTGTATGGACTAAAAGACCCACTTTCCAGAATGATAGACATTCTGAGCAACAAGAAAAAATGTCTGCCCCTGAAAAAGGGGGAAATAATGTATTTACCACTGTTCCACAATTATATAATGTACACATGTAACTACAACTGTACTGTAACAGATTTCACATTACATCAAAGTTACTTTACTTCAATCATCCTGAACATGCATGAAATATTTGCCACTAGACGTTAAGCAACAAACAATCAATTAATCTTTAATTTAATAATCAACAATGATTTTGCATATACTAAAACAAGACTTTACAATTCCTATAACTTTCTACAGAATACTCATAAGACACCTCTTTGAAAATGTTCCTCGCTGTGCATCTAAATAGGCATCGTGGATTAAGTCTGAATGTTCACAGTTAAGATGTATTGTAGCTCGGTGATGTGGCATTACCTCCCCTTTCTGTCTGTTAGGGTCTGCCAGGAAGTTTGGAAGTTCTTTTACTGCAACTGTAATACAATTAAAAAATAATTACTTAACATATTATTTTTCTTATTATTAAATATTCTTGAGTGTAGAATTTAATTGGAGTCAAGATAACTAAGGAATGACCAATAACTTCTATAAAAACAATTGGGTTAAAGACTATTAAAGTATAAAATTTAAATATTTAGTCATAATCTCATTTCTAATAAGCAAATTTTCTCTAAAGATAGAAGAATATACCCATGCCTGCTTTATTCCATTAATGAAATTTTACATATATGCAAAATATATTTTAGTATATACATTGTGTGTTAAGATAAAGTATGCATATGATTAATTTTTATTTCAACATATGTTGAAATATTCTTGGGCATATGTTGAAATATTCTTGGGCATATGTTGAAATATTCTTGGGCATATGTTGAATCAATTATCTTTCAGCATAAGAAATCAAGACTATTTCTTATATCATTTAAAGCTCCACTGAAATTTTAATAAACATGCGAAGCTAAAAAGAACTCAATATAAACACCATGAACCCCTGTGAAACTAACATATTCAACAAAATTAAAACAAAGCAAGCCTCCCATTTAGAAGCATAAAATCAGTTTAATCATGATTTTGATTAAAATAAAAAGTATATATTCCATGATATTTTTCAAATTATACAAACCATTAATTTTTGTGACTGGTGATTCATAAGAGATACTCCTAACATCTAATTCTATATCCTGTGGTAAGCTGCCCTATTGAAATATTAAAAATATATATACATTCAAAACAAGTTTTTCTTTAATGAAAAATTGAACACTTCAAAATGTTTCACTTAATACATGTAGTTTTAACTTTCAAGTTGATTATTCTAATTTTCACATACAAGTAATTGGAACTTTAAATGAAAATAACTTCTTTTTAGTCGCATGTGCATATCTATTCACTTCAGTAACATGTGTATATTATTTCACTTTAGTCACATGTGTATATTATTTCACTTTAGTCACATGTGTATATTATTTCACTTTAGTCACATGTGTATATTATTTCACTTTAGTCACTTGTGTATATTATATTTTCAATATATTTTCAAGATATTAACTTAGTTATATGTTTTAAAATACATAAAAATAATAACAGGAATCACCAAAAAAATATCCGACAGTACAATAGATCACACTTACCATCACCAACCAGAATCTCTGAGAAAAAAGCCAACAAAAACAAAAACAAAAAACAAACAACTCATGCTTAAGACAGCCTTGGTAGCAGCAAAAATCTGGTAAACAATAACCCGGTTTTACATGCACAAAACCTCCCCTTTACATAATTCGACCATATATGTTGTAAAAATTAAAACAGACAATAAAATACCTGCACAGTCCGATACCAACAGGATGACTACTTACTGGAACAAGGAAATAAAAGAAATCATACAAATTGGAAAGTATGGTCAAAACGTGCTCGCTACTACAGGAAGTTGGCTAAGTTATCTCAGTTATCGGTTTGAATACTGCCCTTCATAAAGACAAACACAAAATCAGAAAAAAAACACTTCTATTAAGTTTCATGAAATCTCCTGAAAAGTTTAATTGAAATACCGTAGGCAGTATTCATGAGAGGCCCATGAGTATGGTATTTAACAATATTTAAACAGAACTAGTTAGTATATCATGCCTTTATTCCTTGCTGTTAAAATATGTAAGAATTATCCAAAGTTTAAACATTTCATTTGTAGATGTTTTATTTCTATTTATGACAGTAAAATAGAAGGTCGGTTGAGAAATGTTCTCTATTAAATATTCATTTTATGCAAAAAAAAAATTTATATGCAAATTTTTACTCCTAGTATGTAAATTTGACCTCCTTGTCATGGAAACTTGTCTTCGTAGGATGATTTCCAAATTTTGTAAAAAATATTCAAGCTTTTCCTTCAGTACTATAATGAAGATTATACAATATGATACTCAAGTAAATCACATAACATTTTGTATCCAACATAGCTACTCGTACTGTGGATTCCATTATGCACTTTTTTCATACATGTATGTGACGCATGATTGATGTTTATTATATCAACATATCTTACAGTTTTACCTGTTTATTCATAATGAATTATGACATGAAATTGAAATCTGTGATTAGACAAAAATTTCATAAGTTATATGCTTTTAGTATACACATATTTTCAAAATTACCTGTGGTAATAAATCTAAAAAGGTGACTTTGGGTGTTGCATTTGACAGAACAGCTTTTGCTTTTATTTCTGTTCCATCCTCCAACATCACTCCTCTTGCTTCATTGTTCTCTACAATAATGCTGGACACAGGCTGAAATTAACATCAGTTCAGTTATTCAAATAAAAGAAACAAGGGCAGATGCAGTATTTTTGAAAGGGGGCGTAATTCCATAAAACTGAATATATTACCCAGAGCGTAGCAAGTTGAAAAATATTTTGGATGATTTTAAGCTAAAAATTGACATATTTTCCAATCCAATCCAATGGGAGCATTATGCCCCTGAATCGACCACTGTGAAAATACTTATACAAACTGTTAATTTATGCCTTAACAAAGCAGATGCATGACTGATATGAAAACGGGATCTCAGCCATCTTGAAAAAAGAAGAATTTTAATCATTGAGTTTAATTTAGAAGTTGAAGATGAAGTTATAAACACCATTCGTATTCTTGTGTGAAAGTTTGAAGGATATACACATAAAAAAATTTAAGATGCTTATCGCTAATAAAGAAACTCTTAAAAAAATTATTTCAACCTTTAACTTCAATATAATAATACAATCTTAAAAAAATTGGACTTGTTCCATAAAACATAATAATTTACAAGTTATTCTATTTTTGCTTGTCAATATTTGTTGCTGGTGCAAAAATCTTTGTTTAGTGGGTTATAAATTCAAAATTTAAGATCTTACTCATAAAAAGTCACTGCAAAATATTTTATGATTTTGATGATCTAAGAAATTCACAATAAGATCATACGACATAAGTAATGTAGAAGCACATGCAATCGAAATTTTACATGACCTACTGTGGATTACAATTTCGTTGATCGAGGAAAAATTCAAATTTCTTGGATATTTGATTTCTTGGTTTTGCCAAAGCATACCCAAAAGCCTATAGAAATTTTGTACTTAGTTGAACATTTAAGGATGTTAGCTACTCTGTTTCAAAATAACAAGCTTTTTAAAAGACTATTATAAACTGATAGTATATAAATAATGGAATTGAAAAAGCAGAAAAAAATGTTGGGTCCGTGTGCTTGTTTTAAAGATATAAGTAATTGAAAATTTGGCGGGAAATAATTCTCTTTAGACTTTTCTTACATTTAACATTGGCACCCTTTTTCTTTCAAAAATTAAGAAAAAATAACAAGGATTTTATAGGATTTTCAAATATGGCTTTTTAAACTATTAGTAATAAAATTATAAAAAGAAAAGTAGGGGTTAGCGGGGAATTTTTTTAATGACACTACAGAGGATTCCAAATATCTGGCAAAAATTCAAAAACAAGAGGAGCGAACATCCTTAAATTTATTATACTTCATGTCAAAATGCCAGATTTTGATTGGTTAATACGAGGGAGACAATTTACTCTATGCCACGGCAAATACTCTATTACCCTTCACGGAGACGCTTTCTCAGGTGTGAGCTTTAATAAATATGGATGATTGCTATGTACAAGACGACATAGTTTATTACTTTGAATTTGAAATTTAATAGACAGTAATAACAGAACATTCAGTATAATAAATCAAATAACACATATCTGAGAGGGTGATAGAGCAGATTTTTACCCCTCGAAAAAACATTGTCAACCTTGGCTTCGCCTCAGTTGACAATGTTTTCTCGGGGTAACAATCTGCTCTATCACCCTCTCATTTATGTGTTATTTATATACTGTGGTTCACCTTTACCCACTAAATCAACGAAAAATTGGTATCCCACGAATAATTATGAATCCACAGTACTAACTTTATTGGTGAAGACTGATGCTCCATGATCTGTAGCACAGTTTGCAATGGCTTGTGATACTGATCCCATTCCTCCTTCTACATAGCCCCAAGCTCCTTTTATTCCTTCCAATTCTCCCATTACATGATGTAACAATACATACCTATATTATAGAAACTAAATTTATCAAAGTATATCAATTTTCTTCCAACACTTTTTTTTTGGGGTCGAAATAATATTTGTTACATGTATCCAACTTTTGTAGGTATGCTTGGAAAAAATGCAAAAAGTACAATCAAAATTTTTTTTTTACCAATAACAAAAAATCAAATAGAAACATTGCATGATAACATTGTACTGTCAGATATAATTTTGTACAGTTAACTCCCGTTTTAGTACATATACAATATTTATTCTCAGAGTCTCAAAGTCTGCTTCTTTATTATAAAGACACACTGGTACTTAATGGGTTTTTTTTTCAACAAAATACGTCTCTTTTAATATCAATGGTCTTACCCACTTCCAGGTGTTTTTGGACTAATCATTGCACCAATCACAGAGTCTGTAGCTAATGTTGCCTTTAGTGGCTCAGATTCAAACCATTTATCTAAAATCTGTCAATAAAAATCTGGAACTTTAATAATTGAATGGTTTTTGTCTAAATCATTTTATTAAGATCAATACAAAATATATTTTTTTTGCATCAGAAATATTTTACTTGACAATATCAAGTTTAACCCTTAATTTTTAACAATGTAATAATTTTTGATAACTTGCACCAGGCAATATCATTGAAGCTTCTGGGCATTGTTATACAATGGTTAGAATCAGAAAAATATCAATACATTTACAATAATCAGAATCTTGCTTTTTTATGGTAGATATGGTAAAATATACACATTTTATAATTTTTCATACTTTCTTATAAGTTATTTTCAAACATGTTCAATACATAATAACATTGAATAATACACAATTTCATTGTTGTTGGCGCTGTCATATTATCTGAGGCCTTTTATAGTTTACTATACAGTATGGGTTTTGCTCATAGTTGAAGGCTGAATGATGACCTGTAGTTGTTTACATAATAACATTGAATAATACACAAACCTTTGTTGTTGGTGCTGTCATCAATTCTGTAAATGCTGCAACATCGTTTTCTTCAGAAGGTACTGAAAATATATATGTTGGGTTTTTAGGGTCTGCTGGTCATTTAGCAGTCACAAATCTACCCAAGTTACCAAATATAAGTGGGAGCTGTCTATATTTTTTCAATAATTTGAAATTATCTTCAAAAAAAATATTTATTATTGTGGAAGCATTGTTTGTTTACAACACAAGAGAATTTCTAGTTTCGTGATATGTTGTTTTTAGCAAATTAATTCATTTTTGATTGATTCATATAAAAGTTTATTGTAAAAATATTTTAAACATTAGTATTTAAACTACAAAAAGCAACAAAAAATGTTTTGAAAAACACTATAATATGGATACTATGACAAATATTTCTTTACAAAATATTCTTTAGAAATGCTAGAAGATCTGGAGATCTCCTTTTTTAAAGGTTTAAAAATAGTCACTATGCTTCACATATATGATTCACATGAAGAAAAAATACTACTTACAAAAGTAATGAACTTAAGCAAATTTTTCTTAATCATATACATTTATTCCTCATACCTGATTGGATCAGTGACTTCAATGATGGCAACTGTGACAATTTTTCTTTGAAAGTAGCAGACGACAGGACATGAGGTAAATATACTGGATTTGAGTCTAATAAAGGCTCAATGGCAGCTACAATTCTCTCTAACATATGTTCATATTGCACAAACATCTAGAATAAAATGTATATTATCATGAAATTTCTAAAGTCATAACAGTCTTTTTAGTGAAATTTTTCCTTTATTAAAAAAAACAAGCTGTCAGTATAGAGAAAGAGAGATGTTGGGTATGCTTCAATCAACTTCAATGGAACAGCAACCCAATGACAAAAATAACAAAATGAAATCTGGAGAAGAGGTCAATTTACATTAATAAATGGTGTTGATACAATATGGTAAGCTGTAAATCATCTGAAGTCTTAAAACAATTGTGAATGAATTAAGCAGAAACTACTGAAGATATGTCATTAAAACCAAATTCTCCAAATAACAAAAGCACTAGAATATTACAAAAGACAACCATCGATCAGGTTCCTGTCTTGAAACAGATACCTGGCAGGGTTAATTAAACAAGCTCTTCTTCAAAAATCAGCCCTCATCTTTTAATATTGATTAGTTTACCATATTTTTTAAAAGCTATTGTTAGGTGTTTTTAACAGCTGTTGTCAATTAGTGATGCTTAAAAAGGTGCAGCTTTAATCTTATTCCAAGTATGACAATTGAAAAAATTAAGGGTGTTGTTTAGCTTTTCACCAGGTGTACATTACTATCAACGCCTCAATATCAGTAGCCAGGGTTTTATAGGTTGCATGATTTAGATAGTAGATGCTGACTAAATTCTCAGTTTATAAATTACATGACTACATTATTACTTATTACTCTTAAACAGTCATGATCATTTCTACCGCTATTTCTTGTAATTTGCTTCATGACCTTCAGGTCTCTAGCACACATTATCTGGTGAAGGTTTTTCCAGAAACTAGGTGCTATGCTACTAAATTTCTAAAATGTCATCTTTTAAAAGTTATATTAAGTTTTCTTTCAAGTATTTTGTCACACTTGGGCCTTTTATGGCTTTCTGTATGGAAATAGTTTTGCTCATTTTTGAAGGTCAAACAGTGACTTGTAATTGTTTACATATTTGTCCTTTTGTCAATGGATAGTTGTCACATTGGTAATCATACAAAATCTACTTATTAAAATATTGTATAAAAGAATTTAATTTTTGTATGAAAAATAAATAGACAACAGAAGACCCAGTTAAAAATTTTCAGTGACATTTTTTTTCCATAGGAATTTGGATATCACGGTTAATTGCTTGTAATTCTGGCCAAAAGCACTAAATTTCATCTTACCAATTTTAATCCACAAGTATGACAATATTTTCAAAGAATGAGTGATACTATTAGAGTAAATATGAATTATCAATAAAAAGTTATACTTCTGCATCTTTTTTAGAGAACTGGGCTATCTGTCTGACATTCTCTTCTGTGTCTCTTCCAAGTAGAAGGGATTTAGCTTGTCCATTTAATCCACCAGGTTTTATAAGAGGTGTATAGGAATTAGGATCTCGCAGGTAAACTTTTAGTCCATATTTCTGTAATAAAAATATTATTTCAAAACAAATATCATGAAGAACAAGATTATGTGTCCATGCCCTGCTTGATTTGTTATATTTGCATTTTCAGTGAATATTGAAATTTGGGTCAACACCTTATTTGGCATATAATTTATACAGTTCTATTCATAATAAGCATGAGTACAAGTTTTAACAAAGTAACAAAGTTTGAAAACCAAAACTTTAACCTACCTTAAGCCTAAATTTTAACCTTATATGGGATGAAAGGATGAACAGAAACATGCACAGACTGGAAAACATAATGCCTCTCTACTATTGTAAACTGGTCATAAAAATAATTCAATTGTTTTAACTTTATTCAAACAAAATTTTGATTAGTATCTCATATTTTTCCCGTTTAAAATGACACAAAAGAGAGGCGAAAGATACCAAAGGGACACAACTTGTAAAATAAGTTTTTTGAATACTGGTACATGAAAACTGATGGTTTTATTTGTTATTATGTAAACTTCTGTCAGTAAGTACTGTGGATTCATTGATATTTGCGGGACATAAATCATCTTTGTTGATTATGGGTGAAGGAAAAACGTAAATTTAATAATTGCTTGAGAATTCGATAAAACTGAAAATTTTTAGTTATTTGAGATAGGCTTACTATGTTACTACAAAATAAAGAAAGCCTGAAACAGTAACTTATACTCAAACCATAAAAAATGGTATCCAAGAAAAATAAATAAATCCACAGTCATGACAGTGATTATCAGAATAAAAACCACTAGGATGCCTAACAATAAAAACAAACTATTGATGACAGTATGAAAAATTCAACTTTCTTAATTTATAAGTGTACGGTAGTTATCTACCCTCTTTTAATCAAAGGTTTAAATTTGTAAAATTGTAATTTCTTTCTGTTAACTATAATATGTACCTTCAGCTCTAAATCTGATATTATTTGTGGTCTCAATAAACTCAACACATAAGATGCTCTTGAAAACTTAAAACCTAAAAAAAAATACTAAGAATCATTTTAAGTATATATATGGTATATCATTAATACCACTTTGACTAGTTCCATGTTAAGAATTCTGCCCCTTAATGCCCATGCTGTAGGAAATCCTGCTGGGAAACTATAATTATAGGGCTGCAGTTTTTTTATCCACCTTTCTATTAAAAAATGATATGATTTATGGAACACTTTGACCCCAAATCCTCTCCCCTCTCCCCAATCCCCTGATATTGTACATGTGTCATTTAATCTCATGGAGGTCCATTTTCTCTTTTTTATGAAACAAGTTATAAATTATGGACAAATACATTAACATTCTGTCTTTCTGTAAGTTCCCAAAAATTACAGGACAAACATAATATGTATAACACAATATGTATAACATACAGAATGTTCAAATAAGAAGTAATTAAATATATTCTGACATACCTGGAACAATTTCTTCTGTGACAGCAGCTCCACCAATCACATGTCTTCTTTCTAACACACACACATTCTTACCAGATTTCTGTAGGTATGCAGCCTACAACAAATATCATATCTTGTAACCTTTGGTTTGTGGGGGATCTCCTCCATAATAACTCTATTCTTTCCAGGAGATTTTCTGTAAGCGTGTTTGAGGGGGATTACAGGCTTTAAAGGATGTAGGATGTAGGGGGTGAAAAAAGGAATGTTGGCTATAGGGGGTAAAAAAGGTGGGATCTGGGGGAAAAAAAGGGAAAAAAAGTGTGAAGGTGGAAAAAATTACCAAAAAAGCAGGATTTGGGAAATGGTGCTCATTGGTAACCCCCTCATATTTTTCATGCACTACCGGTACTTAATATCTCCCAAACTAAGTGGAATCAGCTCATTAAATTTTTTTAATATAAACATGCTGAACGGTTTTAAGGAAACTTTGTCAAGCAATTATAGCTCCTGGTAAGGTATACAATCTTTTGGTTGTTTAAAGAGATTTTTAAGAAAGAGGTTGGTCGCTAATGGATGTTTTGAAGTTACTTTAAGGAGTCCTGTTTTATTATGGAGTGTGAATGCAAATAGAGGAATATCCATCATTAGTAGACAGAGCATGCAGGTTTAAGATAGGTTATTACATTAATAAATCTACTGTGAACTTGTAATTTAAATGCAGATCAGATATCCAAGATGGCCACATGCAAACTACAGTTTGACAAGGTCCCTATGAAAAATTAAAGTATTTAACAGCTATTCTTTGAACTTTCATATACTTTTCTTAATCATGTTCATATTACACACTGGATTATTATTACCATGGAACCGATGCTGATTGCTGAAATCTAATTTTGTTGAAATTTGCAAGTCTGAAATTCAAGATCATGACCAAATCAAAGTTATTTCACATTGGACCTAAATAGGATAATATGATGTAATAAACGATATAAAAATATTTTTGCTAAAAGAAGAAATATTATTGTACTATTTCTAAGAAAAGGTGATTAGACAGATTAAATATACCTTTTCTTGTCATGCTTGTATTACAGTTCTAATTTGATATTTTTATTTGGCAGTGAAGATTGCAACCACTACCAAGACTTCTTAACATTGGTCAAGAATCAAGATAGATGTGACTTATGCACCATGTGGTCAATACAGGCTCTTCGATTCTATAGATTTATTCTCATGAAATTATTGACCAAAATGTCTTGCTTCAGATGTCTAACACACAAACATTCTAGGAGAGATTTAATAAATCATTGATTACAACTTACTGTAACAAGTCCATTATGTCCTGTAAAAAAAAAGAGTAAATAGTTAAAAAAAAATTAACAAATTGTTGAAATTCAGTCGATTTGAAAAGGAAGATGAAATATCTTTAAATATAAAAATAAGGAGATGTTGTATGATTCTTTTTTCTTTTTTGTTGTTTTTTTTGTGTTGTTGGGTTGTTGTCTCATTAGTGTATACCTAACATCAGGTTTTTCTTTTTTCGTTTATAAATATGAGACTAGAAACTTGAAAATCGCAATCTATGGTTTCAGACCTTGTGACAAAGAAATCAATTTAAATATAAATCTCCTTGAAGATAGTAATTCATGGCTTATGTCAACCATGAAAAAAATGAGTGTGAATAAAATTTTCCAAAAGGAAACTGATGAATTTATATTAAAAAAAATTAATAATGGTTTAGGCTGCTCTATACAGGCTTTTTGATTAAATTGGATGGCTGTGATAAATGGAAAAACTCACTGATGGATGGACTATTAAACTTTAAGGTCCAGTTTTTTTTTCAATTTTATTTATGAATGAACATATTATGTGTTATGACTGTGAAACCCTGCTCTAACCAACCTTAGACTCTCTTATCTGTCCACAAGGAGAAATCACCCTATCTGATTTGTGGAAACATTGTTGCAATTCTAGCTCACATTGTAAATGTCATAAAAGGACAATAACCATACAAGAAATCAATTGACTGTTTTGTCACTTGATTTTCTTGTAGATCCTGTATTGCTGTCCTTTTTACTGTTTACAGTTTATATATATTTATTGTAAAAAGTTCAAAGAATAAACAGGACACAACACTTCATAGGAATGCAGGTATTATGTATTTCAGATCAAGGCCGAAATCAAAATATTGTTTGTTTCCCCAAACCAGACACTACTCTGCCAGTTATGGGTAGGTAGGTAGGAAATTATTTTGTTTATTCCCCAAAAAATGAAAAGTTTTTACATGGAAATTGTATAATGAACATGCTGAAAAAGAGGAATGTTCACAAACATAAACTGCTAGAAAACTGACTTAATGTTGCCATGTAAACATTTTGTACTTTAAAGTTCAGCAATCAAGTTTAACCAAGACATTGAAAGTGACATTATGATGCACAATTTACATATGCTTTCAAACTGATCATTCAATGCTAAAATAAACAGCTGCACCATGAGCACATGATACGCCCGTCGTCTTGTCAGTGAATTTTTATGCAATAAGCATAAATAGTTTCTGACATACGGCATAACATGCGAAAAACCCCTTTTTTTTTTACAAAAAAATCAATATCTCTAAAATAAAATTTTGAATCAAAACCAAAAAGTATACAGATCTTTAGATTAATATAACTAAGAAGTGTGTAAATTTTTAAGCAATAATCATAAATCGTTTTTGAGATACGGCGCAACATGTGAAAACCCCCCCTTTTAAAAAAAAAAAATCAATATCTCAAAAATAAAATTTTGAATCAAAACCAAAAAGTATACAGATCTTTAGATTAATATAACTAAGAAGTGTGTAAAATTTTAAGCAATAATCATAAATCGTTTTTGAGATATGGCGCAACATGTGAAAAACCCCTCCCCCTTTTTTTACAAAATACTCAATAACTCAAAAATAAAATTTTGAATCATCACCAAAAAGTATACAGATCTTAAGGTTTATATAACTAAAAAGTGTGTAAAGTTTTAAGCAATAATCATAGACTGTTTTTGAGATACAGCGCGACATGTGAAAAACCCCTCCCCCTTTTTTAACAAAATACTCAATATCTCTAAAATAAAACTTTGAATCATCACCAAAAAGTATACAGATCTTAAAATTAATATAACTAAGAAGTGTGTAAAGTTTTAAGCAATAATCATAAATTGTTTTTGAGATACGGCGCGACATGTGAAAAAAAACACACACCTGTTTTAGTTACTAAGTCCCGTAACTCAAAAAGTTTTAATCTTATTTTCACCAAAAAGTATACAGATCGTTTGACCATCATAAGAAACAACTATGTTAAATTTCATGAAATTTAGATAAGTCATTCTCAAGTTACGGTGCGACATGTTTACGCCGGACAGACAGACGGACAGACGGACAGACAGATGGACAGACAGACAGACGGACGGACAGACAGACGGACAGACAGACAGACGGACGGACGCCGGACATTTGTATACCATAATACGTCCTGTCAAAAATTTGACGGCCTATAAAAATTTAAAAAACTTAATACCCTAGTTTCCCAGTAAATTAAATGCACAGCTAATATTTACAGGCAAGAATCAAATCTTTCACGTCAAGAACAAAGAGCAGTTTACATGTTACATCAAAAACTTAAAATAGAATGAGATGATGGAAGTACTTGAAATGTGAGCAACATGGACTTAATCAGAAATATACCATCATAAGTTAAAATATTTTCCTTCACCAACATGTTTCCTTTGCATTTACAAGGTATCTTGAAATAAACTCATGTATGTTTTTTTATTATTTTACCGTATATCGGGTTATTTTCGCATATGTTTAATTTTCGCTTTGTTCACGGCAGTTAAAGAAACTCGAAAATTTGACCCTGCGAAAATTTCCCTGCATATTCCAAAATTTAATGCTGTTTGAAAGTTTTATACATTATAATGTTAATTTTCAAGTTTGACAGGTCATAAGAATGTGCATACCTGATTAAGATCTCTGTTTTCATAATAACTAAATTGGCTAATCAGACACCTTTTGGCAAAACAGCAATCAGTGACAAGTTAAAAATATTAATTAGTTACTATCTATTAATTGGTGTCATAACCCGAACATTTTGCCTATAATTTAAAAATAAATTAAAAATAAATAACATCTTCATGGATATTTTTATATCTGTAATGATCAAAACCTTTAATTTTTAGCATGCCCTAATGTACATAATTTACGTTCCTTGAAAGTTCTCTGAATTATGTGTATGTTCGTTTATAGTACTCATATTTTATATTTATAATCAATTACCTGTCAGTCAATCAAGTTCATGTTGTTTACATCTGTAACAATACGATAGTTATTTTTTCGCGTGTATTTTCCCATTCAGCGAAAATTATACACAGTGAAAATTAAACCTGCCAATTTTGTCATAAAAAAAAAGCAGACGCGAAAAAAACCTGATATTTGGTATTTGAAATTCAATAAAAATGTCAAATAGTACATACTTTAATTGTGAATTAAAGTTAATTAATGTGTTCTCTCCCATTAAAATAAAAGCCAGACTTGGTATCATTGTCATGACAATACAGATACTGTTTTGAATATGTCTCCATACTCTGCACGAACCATTTCCCCCTTAATAAAATGTTGGTCAGGGGAAAATGCAACAGAAATCGAACTGGTATCAAACGCATTCATGTGGCATTGTTCTTAGTTTTTGGTCAGATCCACAGATTCTAAAAGGATCTCACAAAATCTGTCCATTTTAAAGAAACTCTTTTAAGACATTTGAGACCCAAATTTTTTTATTTGATCAAAGAAAGTACATAGTGTGACCTACATCTCCACATGTTCAATTATTCTGTGACCATGGTGACCCGGATCAAGGAGTTATATGCATCACTTAAGCGCTTTAGATCACTAATTACAATTCTGACTTTAATCTAAACACTTGTATGTGTATAAATAATAATACTCATAAGTCAAAGCATGGCCAACAATACAGCAGAATTTGAGAACTGAAAGCAAAATTTTCTCCGCATTTTGACAATTTAATTTTTACGTACAGTCATAGATTTTTCAGAGTTGGTTGGGATTGGGAAACAAACAATATTTTATTTTTGGACCAACATATTTTGGCATTCTCAAAGCCATCATCTGGATAAATACAATGACAATTAATGTCTCATATTATTTATGTTCTCTCTACATGTATCTATTATAATTTTCAAGATATAAAAGGGGGAAAAGTAAAACAAATCATACAAGGGCAGTATCACCTTAAAGGAGACTCAGAGTAAAAGAGGCTCCTGAAAATGGCATGCTTGTCCACCTGATTGAAGTTTGCATGTATGAAGATGCCCTAAGAAACATTCAGATAAAGTTTGGTTGCATTTATAATAAGATTTGTATAGTTAGACTATACAAATCCTTGATTTAGGTTAGAAGTTTACAGACAGAAAACGGAAACCAATCAGATCTGCTAATACTTGACTTTTCAAAAGCTTTTGATAAGGTGTCCCACAGCTTACTCCTCCATAAATTACACCATTATGGCATCTGAAGTAAAACAAACAAATGGATAAAGGAATTTCTCACCAATAGAACCCAGGTAGTAGTTGTTGAAGGCGAAACATCTGACAAAGTAAAAGTAGAATCCGGAGTACCGCAAGGATCAATATTAGGACCCAGTCTTTTTCTGTTTTACATCAACGACCTACCAGAAGGCTTACACTCCACAGTGAGACTGTTTGCGGACGATACTGTGGTTTATTTGACAATTTCATCAGACAGTGACTGCCATAAACTCCAAGAAGACCTGGACAAACTGGCAAAATGGGAAGAACTCTGGAAAATGGAGTTCCATCCTGAAAAATGTAGTGTCCTCACTGTTACAAAAAAGAAAAAGCCAACCAAGTGGGACTATAAACTCCACGGCCATACTCTGGTGCATGAAACATCAACTAAATACCTAGGCTGCACCATCGCAAATGATCTAGATTGGGGAGAACATATAAACAAAATCACAGGAAAAGCCAGCCGAAGCCTTGGTTTCCTACATCGAAACCTCCACATTAGCTCAAAATCCATCAAAGAGCATGCCTATAAAATATTAGTAAGACCGCAAATGGAATACGCCACGACAGTATGGGACCCGTACCAGCAAAACCACATAGATAAAATTGAAAAGGTACAAAGAAGAGCTGCACGATATGTAACCAGCAGACATAGAAATAGATCAAGTGTCAGCAACATGATAAATGAATTAGGATGGAAAAGCTTACATTAACAAGACGAAAAGAAGCACGACTCATCATGTGTTACAAAATAACAAACGACCTTGTAGCCATAGACAAGAATAAATATCTACAAAAACCAACAAGAAGCTCAAACCGGACAGGACAACATACTTACCTATTACAGCCAGCCACCAAAGACTGTAGGAAATGGTCCTTCTTCATAAACACTGTCAAGGATTGGAACAAACTGCCACCAGATACTGCCACAGCAAAGTCTCTTGAGATATTCAAGTCTCAAGTCACCAAAACCACAAACTAAATCAACAGAACAATTTGTTTTTATCCTGTTTATAACCTGTTTTTAATCATGCACAACTTGCCAGAATATTCATCATGTTGAATGTGGGCAGTATTTGGAAGAAGAAGAGACAGGATATTTGAAAAGTTCTTGCTGTACAACAAGTTCAGATGATGACAAGGCCCAAGTGATGAAACAATTATGCTGAGATGGACCTTTAGATCTAAGTGAGTTTAAAAGGATAACAAAAATTACCTGCACCAACTATAACAGCATCATATTCTGTCTTTAAATCATTTTTCACATTACTAAATGTTCTTGAACACTCAGATATCTTTCTAAATGAAGGAAATAACTTTCTGAAATTGACAATCATATTTAAAGATAATGTCATTCACATCTACATGAATATCTGGGTGATTTATATAAAGTTAGTGTGTTTGTTCTTTTGATCACTGGCGTCTGCCATAGTTTGATCATGTGACTATTTTTGATTTATACAATAACCCAAAATTGAAATAAAACTTAGTTTTTTTTTAATCTTTATATCGAACAAATGTGAATTTTACTAAAAAAAGATTTAATAATATTATTTAAATCAATGACCGCGGACGTATTAGAAGACATCGTAACGAAAAGTGCCCTTTGTACGGAATATACTCGTGTCGGTACCTGATATAATTTTCTATTTTCGGATGCGTTCTGCGTTTTTTCTTAATGACTGGTACCTTAATTTTAATATTTCCCTATGCTCTTATTGTTATACATTTTTTAACAGCCAGTAACAAAATCGATCACATGATATTATTTCCTGTCAAGCAGTCGAAAAGCAGTTATGGTAGACAGAAAAACACTGCCAGTTGTCATTGTAACAGGGTTTTGGGCATTTGTTGGAATAATATGTCCAATCCTCATTCAACTGTTTATGAGAAGATCAACAAATAAAGGGTATTTGATTATATATTTAATGTCCAATAAAAACAACTGGCTTGTAGATGACTAGTATCATAGATGTATATACATCTATGCTAGTATGAAGACGACATAATATTCGAAAGGTTAATGTTGTGATCATTATCATCAGTAATTCACTTACTTTTTGTAAGCCACAATGCAAAGTTCCATGTGTACTGATTACTTAAAATATATACATGATCTTCCAATAAGTACATTTGCCTGGAAAGATTTAATGTTGCAGAGCATATTTCTTTACGTCACAATGTGTCCTTTGTAGAGTTGCTTTCAAGACATTTGGCCACTCTATTTCATATTGTTCTTAACATATATATATATATGCATTAATTGTTTTGACAAGTTTGCTTTGAGAAAGTCATAATGTGTACTTCACCATCTGCTGAGAAACAAGAAGAAAAATGAAAAATACAATAATAACGTTTCCCTTTGACTTTGTTGCTTCATTAATATATTTTTTATAACAGAAAATAGAAAATATATAGACATATATATTTATGATAAAAACATATAGACATATATATTTATGATAAAAACAACAATCTTCTTCACTATTCAAATAACAATCATATCTTTTTTGTTACGTTAAAAACTTCATTTTTTTATTAATAATCACCATTTTAAGAATTTTCTTGTAACATTCATCAATATTGATTGATACATATTATTATCAAAGAAAATAAATGTATAATAAAAATGTATTTTTCCAATTTTTTCTTAACATCTGCTGTTTCTAGAAACAATTATATTTTCCTTCCTTTATAACAATAAAAACCTTGAATAGGCCAAAACGACTGTGGCCGAACTAGCAGTGTCGAAACGTCCTGCATCTGTGGAGTTTCTCCCAAATTACCACATGGACAGTTCATTCATAAAAAGGAAATTGAAAACTTGTTTATTCCCTTTTGGATTCTCAGTCAGGAGCAATATTCTGATTTGGCCACATCACTCAGAACACACTCTGAAGTGTGGATTCTTTTATTTTTGTGTGAACCAATTTTCATGGATTGAGGGAAAAAATCAAGGATATTTGATTTCACGGTTTTGTCAAAGTATGCATACAAGCTTATAAAAAAATTTGTTCTCAGTTGAACATTTAAATTCGTGGTTCACCTTAACCCACAAAAATTTGTTACCCAATTTCCATAAATAAGAATGAATCCACTGTAGTTCTTTGGTAAAAAGAGTAATTTGTTATCGAGATGAAGGAGATTAGAGTGGTGTGAAAGCAACTCTGTCATAATTGCAAGCAAATACCAAAATTATGAATATACATTGTACAGGACAACACAAGACAAATAAAAGCCTCTCATCTCTTTATTATCCACACTGCTAGAAGATCTAAAAAATAATGTAATTTTACTGCTCACAGCTTACATGTACATGTCTGCATGCACCATATTTTCACTTTATCATATAAATTAGGCCATATAACAGCTCAAAATCTTACCCTTTTGTTTCTTCTTGTATTTGTTTTGGTCACTTCAGAAATTTCAGATTGTCATTCGCCAGTCACTTAAATTTTGCCAAGTGCAAATATTAGAATAACAATGGTGGAGAAGCTTTACTTTTTATAGGTTCTGTTAATTCTTGAGTTAATGTGAATATGATTATTTTTTTTTTGTGCAGTTATCTTAATATTCTGGAAATGCATGATTGTATTGGCAATATATTTGGCCAAAATGCATAAACACTTCACAACAGGTCTGTTTTCTTAATCCATTGATGATGTTTCTCGTTACAATTTTCTCATAATACTCAATTTAAAGTGGAATTTGATAACAATGTACATGTAATATGTGATAATTTTTACTTATTTACAATTACAGAGTTGTTCAGTTAATGTTAGCAATGACTGCAGCCTGCTGTTGGTTATTGTAAGTATATTATACACCTAAAAATCATATATCAAGCAATCAGCCATTTATATATATGCAAATACAGCTGAACAAATGAACTTTATACATGTACTGTTATGTTAAATACATCATGTACATACATTGACATATACCAGATAAAAGAAAATGTCTCCAGCGTCTATTATGAAAAAACAGAAATATACAAATGACTTTTTACATCACAGTTCAATTAAGTGTCTGGTCTGTATTCTTAATATAATGCTATTTCTTTGAAAATCAGAGACCAAAAGAGAATGTAAAAGCTATGATATATAAAAGAAATGTTAATACATGTAGCATATATGTATATATATTTGAAAGGGCTTTATAAACTAAAAAGCCAAATTCTTTGAGAATTCTTTCGGTGACTGTCAAATTTATTTGATCTTTGCTTGTATGCAGAACATAATTATATAGAACCATGTAGACCTTATAGCTGTTAGGGAATCTGTGACACTAAATTACCTGAGAATTTGCAACACTTGAACTATTGACATCATACAACAATCACTTTTGTATTGTGGTGTCAGACATTTTATTTTGTGATATCAAAATTTTATGGGAATGTTTGTAATATGGTGTATTGATTCCCAAAGTAAAAAAAATATTTCACTGAAATTGGATAAAAATTTAGCAGTAAATCCTAAGTCCTCTAAAAAAATCACAAAATTTGAGAAGCTAGTCTTTTTTATCTTGAATTTTAACAAAACTGGGTATACATGTACCGGTAATAGGCTATTGATGACTGGTGTCATATTTTTGATAAGTGAAAATTGGATAAAAAAAATTGCAGTAAAAATTTGTTTATGTTTAAACAAATATCACAAATTTTAGAGACATCTCTCTTTTCTATAGTTCAATGGAAATCAATATATAGGTAAAATATATTACAAATTTATTTTGAATTTATTCCAGGTGTCAAATTCATGGTAAAACCTTAAAAACTTATTTTTATCTTGCCTCTACAGGGTCATGAAGGCGAGACTGGAGGGTACTGTTAAGGACTTTCCAACAGCAGTCAACAATGTATTATTTTGATAAGGTCAAGTTATGGGGAACCACTAGTGTTAGGTCAATGATATTTGGTATGCAGTTGTATTATCATTGGTTCACATCATTTCCATTGAAATTATTTGGCCCCACCCCTCAGGCATGGTCAGTTGACTTTGAAACTTTTGCTTAGCTTACATGTTAAAGTTTGTTATTAGGTCAGCTTAAGGGGAACCACTAATGGTAAGTCAATGATATTTGGTAAGCAGTTGTATTAATTGATTAGCATTTGCAAATCTCATTTCTATGGAGATTTGTAAACCTGGCCCCTCAGTGACGGTCTATGGACTTTGAAATTTCTGAATAGTATATACATTTTAAAGTTTGTGATTGGGTCAATTTAAGATGAACCATTAATGATAAGTCAATGATATTTTGAATGCAATTATATAAGTATTTGCAGGTACAATTTTCATGGAGATTTTATGGCCCTACCCCTCAGTCACAGTTCATTGACTTTGATCCTTTTACATAGTTTACATGTTAAACTTTGTGTTAATGTCAGTGTAGAGAGAACAATGTTATGGTATGTTGTATGCAGTTGTATTAGCATGGGCAATTCTCATTATCATGGAGATTATTTGGTTGTGCATCTTCAGTCATGGTTTGTTGACTGAATGTTTTGCATAGCCTACATGTTTAAAAGTATTGCCATTTTAATTTCAACATTTGCATTATCATGATTATAATATTAAAATAACATACAGGGGAGACATATCTATGGTCAACAGTTTATTACTAAAGAAAAATTTTAATTTCAGAAAAATCTTTTTGTGCTAGAATTTAAATGGAAATTGATAAATATGTATAATAAACTATTCAATCAAACTGATTTCAGGTGTAAAAAATTGTGCGTTGGCCTCCATTTCCAATATGAATGCCAAAATATATTAAATTATCATAGTGTTTGAATTTTAACCAAAGTTGATATCTATTTAAAATGCATCTCAGAATAAATTCGAAAATTGATACCTTTGCACATACATGTATGTTGCTATGTTTTCAACAGTTATAATTATTTGTTTTTGTGCCTCACACAAAAATGTGCAAGATGAGCCCTTGCTGACATGTCAGTTTTTAACCGGATTTTCGAAAGAAAAATCGGTTATTGATTTGGGGTTGTACGGCGGGAGGGCAGGCGGCTGCCAAAGAGTGTCCATTCATTAACATGAAAACGCTTTGACGAAATCTTTTCAATTTAGTTATGTTGTTTCCTGTGACTAAATGAAGGTCAAGTTAAATTTTCACGATTTTAGCTGTTCTCCTTGTTGATATAAAAAAGAAGATGTGGTATGATTGCCAATGAGACAACTTTCCACAAGAGACCAAATGACACAGAAATTATTATATCAAAACTAGACAAGAGGCTGTCAGAGTGACAGCAAACCGGTTGTTGAGTTGTAGACCTTTCAGTAGCAAAAGAGATTCTTTTTATATGATTTTGAGTTATTTCCCTTTGAACAGAAATGGTGTAATTAATAAGTATTTCATCAAAAATTGAATTCTTGGGATTCTTTGATATGCTGATTCTAACAATGTACTT